GAGCTTCTTTTGGCCCCTTTCCCACAACCGCCCAAAAAGAAAAGGGTTGGTAGAGTGTGCGCGGCACCCATACAAAATTAATTACATCACGCGTTGTTGTGTGTCACGTCATCTGATGCTTAGCATCGATGATTAAGAGATCAATTTCGTGTGTATTGTTTAATTTAGTTTGTGATACATTTTAACTTTAACTTTGTCTTCCCCGTTTGAGGTTAGTCATTCTCTATTGCATCTTTAGTTTGAGGTCACGGGGAGTTCCCTTCAAAATCTGTAATTTGTTTAGTACATTATTAGCAAGTATGTCACATAAAGTTGTTTTATTTTATCTTTTAACAAAATAAAAATAAAAATTAGAGCCTATTTGACAACTATTTTGGTAGAAAACAGAATTTTGAATAATGATATTTAGGAGAATGTGTGATTAAAAATTAAGGAAAAAATTTTGTGTTGAATATATAATTTTTTTTTGTAAATGTGTGATTGAAAATAGTCATGTAGCAAATTATAAAATAAATTAAAGAGTGTCGAATATGCAGTTAATGTTGTGAAACAAACCACCAGATTGAGATGTTGAAGTTATATGGCAAATAATAAGGAAGTATATGATCAAACAAAATAATAATAAAGACAAGAATATAGTAGATGAATTAAAAAAATTTATCAACTCAAGAATAATGAAAAAAAAGAGAAATTATAATAGATCCTATAATTCTAATAATTTATTTTCTCACATTATAAAATTATATAGAAGAGTCTAATACTTATAGGGAAGATGTAGCGGATGTTCAATCCCTCCTAATAGAGTTGTTGATGAAATATGATGCTAAAAATCGAGTCCAAAACAAATTTCAACTCTCAATGAGCTTCCAAAATAAAACTTCAACTTGACATAGGACTCCAATAATATTCCAAATTCGAATTCATGACGTACATTTCAATTATAATTCTTCAATTACTTCAACAAGAAATTCAGGTCACACCCAAATTCTAACAATCTCCACCTTGATACAAATTCCACCAAGGAATGAACTGACTCTTCAACAATAACTAAAAAAATTAATTTTTTTAACAAAACACAATACTCCATCTTTTTAATGAATCCAAGCCCTAATTTCCAGAATTACCTCAAATTCCCAAAAAATCATAATGATTTTGAATTAACCAAAATGGGCTGTAACACACCCCAAAGTAGAATCAATACCAAATGCTTTTATAGAAGGCTCCTTGATAGATTGTACATATTCTACTCCACTTAAAACATGCTCAACAAAATCAGCATCCACATACTTTTTTCCACTAGATCAGTCTCTAGCAGCTGAATACAATGACACCGCATGTGATGGTGGCAAAGTGGCATTATCCATATCTCCTAAACTCCATTAAACTGTATTCTTCAAATCTGACCCTTTATGAGCTCCAAAAGGTATTGTACCAAACTGAATGTCCACAACGGTACTGAACTTGTGCTAATTGTCTCTTCTAAATTCTGCACGACCCTACAAAATGTATAATTGAGACATTTTCTGTCACTCCATACAACTGGACACCCTTACAAACTTTCAAAACTCAACATCCACCAAAAAACTCATAACCCTTTGAATCAAGAATAGACAACAACATGAGATTCTTCTTCAAATCTGCAACATGTCGAACTTGACCAAGTGTTCTAATTGTCACATTCAAAAGTTTCAATTTGACTGAACCAATTCCAACAACCCGACAAGATACATTGTTTCCCATAACCACGACACCTTTGGAAATAGTTTCATATGTAGTAAATAAGTCCTTATTATGACACATATGAAACACACATACTGAATCAAGAATCCAATCATCTTCCAGTTTAGACTCAATGTAAAAAATAACTAAAAGATATCCATCACTTACAAAGTTCTCTGTGAGATCTGTTTCGCCTGAAGTATCTAAATATCTACTTGCAGTCATCATTTCTTTATTCTGCAATTTATAACAATCATTCTTTAAGTGCCCCCTCTTCTTGCAGTAGTTAAAAATTTGATTACTGAACTTAGACTTTGATATGCCCCTTCCAGAACCATAATGAGCAATAAAGCATTCTACATCTCTGGTCTCAAAAATCAGATGCTTCATCTTCTTTTTTAAATACAAAGTATCATACACCTCCTCTATGATGAGAGTATCACAACTATACAAAATCTTGTCTCTAAATGAAGAAAACGATGTGGGCAACGAACACAATAAGATCAAGGCCAAATCTTCTTCATCATATTCTACTGCCAAAGTTTCCAAATCAACGACGATTTCTTTAAACATATTTGTTAGACTTTTAGTAATGTACAATTACTCCAACTTCAACCATAAAGCAGCTGCTGAATTCTCATTCAAAACATCCTGAAAAATGGTATTCGATAGATGAAGATGAATGTGAGAAACCGTCATCTTATCCTTCAGTAATTTCTCCTCTGTTGTTAAAGTTGCTGAAATCTTGTCAATTCCCAACAATGTATCATTCAAATCCAGTTGTGCGAGTACTGCACGCATCTTAAC